AATGAGATGGATTGGCATAGTGGCAGCAGCTGTGGGCTTAAGTGTGACAAAAATTTTGATGATGGTGCAGGACTGGGTAGTATTTCGTTTTGTTGTTCATAGGATTGCTATGAATTGGCACCTAACAACAACAACAACAATTTATCTGAAGAAGGCTTGGGCCGAGCACAGGCTTTAAATGATGTGTTCAAAAGCTGGAAGGAGGACACACAAGTAAGGGAAAACATAAAATAGAGAATCTATAAACGTGGCATCAGGATTGGAGGAAGACTCATTAATAACCTGTGATATGCAGATGATACCATCTTGCTTGCTGAAAGTGAAGAGGACTTAAAATACTTACTGATGAAGATCAAAGACCATAGCCTTTGGTATAGATTGCATATCAATGTAAAGAAAACAAAAATCCTCACCACTGGACCAATAAACCGCATCCATATGAATGGAGAAAAGATTGAAGTTGTCAAAGACTTCATTCTTCTTGGATCAACCATCAACACTCATGGAAGCAGCAGCCAAGAAATCAAATGACGTATTGTGTTAGGCAAATCTGCTGCACATGATCTTTTAAAAGTGTTGAAGAGCAAAGATGTCAGCTTGAGGACTAAGGTGCACCTGACCCAAGCCAGGGTATTTTCAATAACCTCATATGCATGCGAAAGTTGGACAGTGATTAAGGAAGATTGTAGGAGAATTGATGCATTTCAGTTATGGTGTTGGAGGAGAATATTGAAAATACTGTGGGCTGCCAAAAGAACAAATAGATCTGTGTTGGAAGAAGTACAGCCAGAGTGCTCATTGCAGGCCAAGATGGTCAAACTTTATCTCTCATACTTTGGACATATTGTCACAAGGGACCAGTCACTGGAGAGGGATATCATGCTTGGTAAGGTGGAGGGTCAGAGAAAAAGAGGAAGACCCCCAGTGAGATGGATTGGCAAAGTGACAGTGTCAATGGGCTCAAGCATGGCAACAATTGTGAGGTTAGCCTCTGACCGGGCAGTGTTTCGTTCTGTTGTGCATAGAGTTGTTATGAGTCGGTACCGACTTGATGGCACCTAACAATAGCAACAATAGTGTTAATGTCTTAAAAGAGAACATTTAGAACTAATAACTTTCCTCAAAAGCATATGTTTGGAAATTGGGTTACTTAGAACTTCAGACAAGCACAGGTTACTTTTTACAGGATTTATTTTGGTTTGAGGAGATTTAAAAGGCTAAGACACAAATAGATTTTTGTTTATTGAGTAATATAAAAGGGGCCCTGAGACATAGTGACATAGTGCATGGCTGCCAACTGAAAGTTTGCTGGTAGGTTTGAACCTATCAGCTCACCTCCAGGAGAAAAATGTGGCCATCTACTTCCATAAGGATTACAGCCTTGGAAGCCTTAGGAGGCAGTTAGTTCTACTGTGTCCTATAGCACTACTATGAGATGGAATTGACTGCATGGCAATAGGGGTTGGAAGATGTCATATAAAAGTTATAGTTCAATAAAATGTTTCCATTTTTCTGTTTGAAAAATTTCGGGAGCCTTGTAAATATGTATTCTTTTATGCAATTATCACACAAGAGACACCTGCGCTTCAGAGGAGACGCTGGTGTTGAGAGGAAAGAGATTCTCTCTGCTGAGAAATTTACTTCAGCAGTTCTATAGAATTCATTCTCCAGAATTAAATCTATGTTACAGCCATGATATGGGTAAACCTAGGCAAGTGAATGAATTTTAGACAGAGGAAAGAAATACTGAACTCAGAGTGGATTCTGAAGTTCATTTTTATAAAACTGATAACCCCATATGACTTTGAATCTAAGAAAACCAGGTATTAGATATACCGTCCTCATTCCATTGATGAGACAACTAAGGCCAAGGTGGCACAGTAATTAATAGAAGAGCTAACTTATTCATCATTGGTTTTTCTACTTCACCAGTGTCTCTTCATATGTCAATTCAACTATCTGTGTATGGCTAGAAAAATTATAAAATTTTATTTTAACATATTTTCTTTGTCACACACTTTATACTGTTATATATATAAAATACTCACACATTCACATTGTTGTATAGGATTATATGCACAAGCTATGTCTGTTGTACTTTAAGAATAACTTAGGAAGTTTTCCAGGGGTAATTTTAGCTCTAAAGATTTACATCCCATGTAGAAATTTAGAACTTCATCTTTTCTTAGGAAAACACGACTATTCTTGCTCTGTGTTTCTTCTTTCATTAAAATAAAGGTCAAATTATGCCCCCAAAACATTGATTCATGGTGTAAGAGTCAGATATGACTCAGTTTAAAGTACAAATATTATTTTTATCATATACACACGCAAAAAAAAAAAAAAATCCATTGTATTTATTTATAGGGTAGGGATATGCCAAGTTGGAATTTAATAGAGAGAAAGGAGAACTGTGGCCTGAATCTTGTTTCAGTGATTTTAATTCTCATTTCAACCAATCACCAAAATATCTGTGTCTCAGTATGTGCCTAGTATAAGGTTTATCTAGTTCTGACCAGAAGCATATCAATCTAAAGTACTTCTCCTACCATTCCTGTACTTATCTCTACTTCATTGTCTTTGTCCTTACTTATTTCTAGCTCTCCTTCAATACCAAACATATGAATCAATTTACAGTCACATTTAGTGGAGCAACCACTCTTGGTCCTCTTCTTAAGACCTGATTTTGACCCACTAGAATACTCACACAACTTATAATTCATGCTTCTTCATGCCCTCAAAAGAAACATGTGGAAAATATAGACTCTTAGAATCACAGTCTGTTAGAATTTTAAGATACCTTACAGGTCATCTGGCATTTAAAAAATTTAGAAACAAGACCCAAAGGTTTCTCTCAAAGATGCACAGCTTTAGTGATAAAGCTTAATATGCTGCAGGAGAAGTTTAAACAAAGAAGCATTCATATAGATCAGAGTCTCAAAGACGGGGCCTGTGATTTTCTATGAAAAATATTCTTAGAATCTTGGGTCTTCAATCCTGGACATTGTGTAGCCTACATTTGCCTCTTCCTATCCTAAAAGGAAATGCCATACTAATAAAATATTTGTAGAAATCAATCAGTAGCTAAAGGTGATAGAATCTATTGCTGAAACTGAAAATGTACTTATCAAGAGGGCATAAAGTGAAATAGATGCTTTAGGAGGTTGTCTTAGGCCGGGGTTTCTAGAGAAGTGAAACCAGTGAAATATGTATGTATAGAAAGAGAAGTTTTTTTATCAAGGAAATGGCTTAAAATTACAGAGTCCCCGCTCCCCATTGGAAGAGAGAGAGCCTTTCCTGCATGTCCATTATGTTGGGATCAGGCTACACCCCCAAAGAAGTATCCTTTCAACTCATTGGCTGCTCATACTCACTCACCATAGAGTGAACTATGCCTGTATTAGGTTTCATCACCATGGGAATAAGCATATCTCAACTGCTTATTCTGGAAATTCTGGTCAAGTTGACAAAGAACCCTAACCATTATAGAGGTATTCTTGGATCACCAGTTGTATATCTATATTTGTGATGGGAAAAATCAGGTGCTTCCTTAGACTGTGTGCTTAATTGGACAAAACCCTGGGCCAAAGCCACAGCTGGAAGACCAACCTTATCTCTTTGAAAATATTAAGAACACTGTATTCGTTTCCTAGGGCTTTTGTAATAAAAAGAAGTCCTGGTAGCATAGTGGGTTAGACGTTGGCCTGCTAACCACAAGGTCAGTAGTTTGAGCCCACTTATTATACGGGGAAAAAAAGATGACATGAATAATATTTGAATCATGCTTGATGGTATGTGAAATTTGGGACCATTAATTCTGTAGTGGTGTCCTGGTATGGCACTGTGGGTTAATGTGCTAGACTGCAAAGTCAGCAAGGTAGGTGGTTCAAGCTCACCAGCTGCTCCTCGGATAACCCTATACAGGGTCGCTATGGGTCAGAACCAACTTGACAGCACTTAACAACAACAACAACAATAATAACTGTAATAAAAAGAAGCCCTGGTAGTGTAGTGGGTTACACTTTGAGCTGCTAACCACAAGATCAATAGTTTGATCCCACCAGCGGCTCCAATGAAAATTTATAGCTCCTATAAAGAGTTACAGCCTTGGAAACCCTACACAGGGTTTATGAGTAAGAACTGACTTGAAGGCACGCCACCACCACTACCACCATTGTAATAAACTACCATAAATTGAGTATCTTATAAGAACATGAATTTATTGCTTCACAATTCTTGAGGCAAGGAATCCAAAATCAGGGTGTCAGGGATGTTGGTTCCTTCTGAGGCTCAAAAGAGAAACTGTTCCATGGGTGACAGCCTGTGATCCTTATCATTCATTGTCATGCAACTCAAATCTGTGCCTCCATCACCACATGGCTGTCTTCCCCTCTGTCTGTCTCTCTAGTACTCTCTTCTCTTTTATAAGGATACCACTCATATTGAATTAGGACCCACCCAATTCCAGTGTGACCTAGTGTTAACTGGTAACATATTTAAAGACCCTATTTCCAAACAATGCCATGTTCACAGTTATAGGGATTAGGAATTCATCAGATCTTTTGGGGAACAAAATTCAGTCTATAACGAACATCTAATGTATATCCATTGTGGGGAACTGATTTCTCCTCTGAACATAGCAATGAAGGCCTGTTAGAGAAAAGACCTTTATAGATTTAACAAATGTAAGAATTTTTTTTAAACAACAAAAAAATGCAATGGCTGATTCTTCATGATTACTAAGTATTGCTACGTTGGTTATTGTTGTTGCTAAATTGGCTATTGGGGGTTAGTGGAAAGGGATTGGAGTAGCTATGGACATGAAATTATTCTGGAAAGGATTCATAGAGAAAGTGGGTATGAAACAATTTTGAAAGAGGAATGAGAAATTATTTGTCTTTGGTATTAACGTGTGTTAGTATCTCTGCCATATAAGTTGGACCCTAGAAAGATAGATTCTCACTTGTATGTAGCAGCCTAATCTGGTTTGTTGTTCAAAGGTTATTGATATTCTATGGAGTGACCCCAGAAGCAAAAGAGGCTGTTACCCAAACAAAAGTCGAGGAGGAGGTTGCTATTTTGGACCCGATGTTACCGCCAAGATTCTTAGTAAATATCAAATGAAGTTCCTTATTCGGTCTCATGAATGTAAGCCCGATGGTTATGAAATCTGCCATGATGGGAAGGTAAGTTAGCCCTGTTTTGGGGGATGTTCTCATAGGCATCCTTCTCACAAGCACAGTCTTCTCTTAATAGAGCACATCTGACCTAGAAACCTATGGGAAGACAGACGTCTTTTCTAGTGCCAAAACAGAAAGCCATGCTTTGATTAACAGAAACAGGAGACTGCAGGGTTCATATAGGTTATTTGAAGATGCCTCACTATCTCTCTCCCTAATACATACTTGGCTTATTTCCCTGATCTTCCCTAATCCTAGAGATAGAAATTCTGACACTAAGTATATACACAGAATAACTTCACTCTTTATAAAGCAGACACTTATTCTCACAGAGACTGTAAAAGGCAGCAATTAAGCTGGCTTGCTGTTTTCCACCTTTCACACTTTCCCTGTGCAGGACAGAATCACAAAGCACACTTCCCTTCAACTTGTTGAGTAGGTAAGCTCCAGCAATTGCTCACTGTGGTCATTTTCATCACAGCCAATAAAATGGAGTGTGTTGTGCTCCCTCAGTAGTGTCTGCTAAGGCTAGAAGAGGTAGGATTGAAGAACTGTTTTGTTGCCCCAAGTTGTCCTGGGATGCTCCATTTTCTAAAAGCAAGCAGTAAAAAAAAATCGTAAGTATTTTCTTCTATCTTAGCATGATCACTTTTCTTAATTCTGTTCATTCATTTTAGGCTCACTAATGTTATGAGGTGGGTAAGCCAAGTAGCATTTAGGGTTTCTTTATAATAAGAAAGCAATTTTGATCTAAAAAAATCCTGTAGAAAATTTCTGATCAAAATGGGGAAAATGCAGACGAGTTTCACATTTTCATAGACTTCAGACTTTCTGGAGTTGTTGAAACTTGATGAACCCCTGAAACTATTGATCTGAGATAATCTTTAAATCTTAAACAAAAAATATCACCTGAAGTTTTCTTTAAATCAAACACTAGTTAAATGACTAAAGAATATCTGCCTTGAGCATAGTGTTCTTTAGAACTATCTAAATGGGATCAACAGGGACTTGAAAGATTAGATAGAACATTTAGGGGGCAGTGAGTTTACGTTAATGGGGGAGGAACAATTAGGAAAAGGAGAGTGTCACAACTTGAAAAATGGAATCAATGTCACTGAATTGTACATGAAGAAATTGTTGAATTGGTGTATTTTCTTCAGTGTATATTCTTATAACAAAAACAAATAAAATATATGTATATATATTTTAGAACAGAGAAAACAATAGTGTCTTATAGCATGACTAGACCTAAGCTAGGTTTTCCATCACTGACAAGTGATGTCCTACTCCACTCCACCAAAGTCCTAAGGTTGGTTCCTTTCTAAGATGGGGGTCAGGACCCTTTACACTAGCCACTATTTGGCTGCTCTTAAAACACTTGTTTTGAGGGACTTTTAGCTCTCAAAATCACTCAACTCCAAGCAAAAAGAAAAGACCATGATAGTGGATACGTTTTGTTTTGGCTGCTCAAATATTATCAGTTATTCCATTGAAAAGTTAGAATTTTCAAAACTGAACATTAAGATGGATTTTAAGGCATGGAACTAAAATTATACAAAGGGCCTTCAAAAAGTTCATGGGAAATTCTGTATATATATATATTTTGTGTGTGTATGTTTATTATCTTTATTTATATAAAGATTTCTTCATTCACATCACCTAGAGATCATTTCACCCACTGCACTGCTTGACAGCCAGTTTCTTGTCTCTCTCTTCAGCAATGGTAAGGCAGATATCTTTTCCTCAAGGTAGAGAAATCCACGGTTTGTTGTCTTTGCCAATAACAAAAATGTTGGAAAGTTGGGTCACAAAGCTATTGCCATTGGCATCTTTCACATGAACCACATCAAAAGACAGGATGTTTCTCTCTGTTAGTGATCATACCAGTTCTTCCTAGGTTGTCCACCTACAGGTTACCAGTGTCAAATTTAATGAAATCAGTAATCTTTCCAGTCTCCAATCTGAATGGTATCATTCACCTTGATGAGGGTATCAGGATAGCATATGGTGTGAGCATCATTGGTCACCAGATTGGGGGGCGGGGGGCGGTTCCTTTTGTGTCCACAAAGAGCTTTCTTACTTTGCACAACTTGTACGTCTCCTCCTCAGCTGTAATACAATGAACAGAAAACCAAATGGAAATTCTGTCTGGTTTTGTCAATGCTGATTACATCCATAAAGCCAGCAGGATTAGTTATATCAGTTTAGCTCTTGCCATCAATCTTAATGAACTGCTTCATACAGGTCTTTTTAACTTCATCTGTCCAAGCATACTTAAGTCTGTTCCTTAAGAAAATGATCAGTGGGAGGCATTCACCTTAGCTTGTGGGGGCTGGTGGATGGATGTGGAGCAAACACACCAGTCAGTTTGTCCAGCATCCAATGCTTTGAGGTAGCCACATGCTTAAGATGCTTCTTGGGACCATGAGCCATGGCTGCACTGAGCAGGAAAGAGGACCAAAAATTCCATTTTTCTACAGTTTTGCAAAGCTATGCATCAGGACCATGAGCTGAGTGGAGACAGCAATTTTTAAAAGTCTTGTTTTCCTCCAATGGAATCAATCATAAGAAATCACATCTACTTGGATAATTTTCAATGGTTATGAAGTTTATTTTATTTTTGCTTTTTTAATAATTAAATGTCCTTTTGAGAATCTGATCCTCTTTTTCTTTAAACAGGTTATTACTGTGTTTTCTGCATCTAATTACTATGAAGAAGGCAGCAATCGAGGAGCTTACGTCAAACTGGGTCGTTATTCAGCCCCTAGATTTTTCCAGTATCAAGTAACTAATTCAACATGTCCAAGGCCTCTTCATCAAAGGTGTGTGATGAAGGAACTCTAAGGAACATACTTATCACTGGCATTGGTGACTGAGTAAAGCCAGTCCAGGGTGATAAAGAGCAGCCACAGGAATGGTGGTAACTACTTACTGGTGACCCACTGATAGAAACAAAATGGAATAGTTCCACACTCCAAGTGGTGAATATGCCCATATTTGGGAAAAAAAGGGAGTGATTTTCAATTCATACAGCTCTTTAGATGGATAAAGAATTTAACAACCAGAGACAGTCCAAAATTAAAAGGAAAGAAATGAGGGTCCCCTAGCTACAACCTTTTCTGCTCAACAAACTGTCTAATCTGGTCTTGCCTCTTTTCTTCTCTACCTAGAGGTGTATATACCAAAAATTTCACCCTTCATGTGATGGCATTAATAGCATATCTTCCTTCTTATCTCTCTTAAATATTATCTTAAGATCATCTTAAAATTATAAAACAAATATATTAAGTATCTACAAGATGTATATATATATGTATATGTATAAAAAATTTATGATACGCTCTCCCCCTACTTCTCAATAATCCTTGTCTCTAGAGATAACTAAAACAAACAGCCTAAGGTAGACCTTTCTACCTTCTCCCCTTGCTCTTACAAAAATAAATTGTTGTTGTTTTGAAGTGCCATCTGAGGTGGATTTGAACTGCCAACTTTGTGGTTAATGTTTATCCTATAGCCCCACACCAGAACTCTATATACAGACTTGCTCTTGTTTTTGTTAAGTGCTGTTGAGTCGATTCCAACTCATAGTGACCCTATGTAGGGTTTCCAAGGAGCATCTGGTGGGTTTGAACCACCAACCTTGTCATTAGCAGTCCAAATCTTATCCTCTAGCACCACTTATTAATCTTTTTAGTAAGAATATTTTTTGAGCACCTACTATATGTGAGGCACTGTTCTAGGAACAGGTGATACAGCAGTCAGCTCAACAATCTCTTCAAAACAATCTAGGCTTGACTTGTGTGCACATCAAACTCTTCTAGCTTCTCCCTGCTACCCAATTTCAAAGCCACTTCTATAGTTTTTTAGGTGTTTGTTACAGTAGCACCTCACTTCCCAGTACCAAACTCTGTCTTAGTTTTCTAGAGTGGCTGTAACAAAAAATCACAAACTTATAAGAACACAGATTTATCGTCTTGGTTCTGGAGGCTTAGAGTCTGAAATCAGTGCTGGCCATGCTGATTTCTCCTGAGACTTTGAGGAAGAATCTCTTCCTTGACACTCATGTAGCTTCTGATAGTTCCAGGGATTCCTTGACTTGAATCTGCAGTTTCCCATGCTGTTCTTCTGTCTCTAGGTATCTTCTCTTTTATAAGGATACCAGTTGTATAGGATTGTTGTTGTTATTGGTATGTGCTGTGGAGTTGGTTCCAACTCATAGCAACCGTGTACAGGGTTTCCGAGGCTGTAAATCTTTATGGGAGCAGAAAGCCTCATCTTTCTTCCACGGAACAGCTGGTAGTTTCAAACTGCTGACATTGCAGCTTGCAGCCCGATTCGTAACCACTACGCCACCAGATCCTTATTAGAACCCACCTTAGTTCACTGTGACCTTATACTATCCTAACTAATAACCTTTTCGAAGACCTTATTTCAAAACAGGGTCACATTCACAGGTTGAAAATGTTCCCTTCAATTCCTAGCTTGTTGGATGTTTTTAACATGAAAGAGGGTTGTATTTTGTCAAGTCCTTTTTTCATTTTTATAATTGAGATTGTCATATGGTTTTTGTGTCTTTTCTATTAATACGATATATTAAATCCTATTTCATCATGTGCATAATCCTTTTTATATGTTGCTGGATGCAGTTTTCTAGTATTTTGAGAACTCTTACATCTATATTCATAAGAGATATCAGCTGTAATTTTCTTGCAGTGCCTTTGTCTAGTTTGAGTATCACAGTAATACTGGCTTCATAGAATCAGGTGGGCAGTACTTCTACCTCTTATTTTTTTTTGGAAGAGTTTGTGAAACCATTTGGGCTTTGATGTTTCTTTGTGGAAAGGTTTTTTAAATTATATAAAGATTTATAGCCTCGGAAACCCTGTATGGGTCGCTATGGGTAGGAACCGACTCCACGGCACTTAACAACAATATGTTGTTGTTGTTGTTGTTAAGTGCCGTGGAATTGGTTCCAACTCATAGTGGTGTCCGTGTATAGGGTTTTCAGGGAGTGGCTGTGAACATGAACCACTGACCTTTTGGTTCAACCCGACCTTGCAGTCCAGCACATTAGAACCATTTGTCTTTCTTACACACACACACACACACACACACACACACACAGGTGTGAACTTCAAACTTTCAAAAAGTTTATGGAAAAATCCCATTATATTTTAATTCTAGTGTCCACAACTTCTTGATGTTCCCTCATATACTTATTTGTATACTTTTCCATTTTATTTGTTTTATTGATGTTGAAAATGTACACAGTAAAACATACATTACTTCAACAGTTTCTACATGTACCATTAAGTAACATTAATTATATTCTGCAAGTTATGAAGCTATTCTCATTCTCCTTTTCTGAGTTGTTCTTCTCCCATTAGCATGAAGTCACTGCTTCCTAAGGTTCCTATCTAATCTTTCCAGTTGCTGCTTTCAGTTTGATCCCATGTTAATAATTATTACAAGAGTAAAATGCTCAAGGAAGACAGTTTTTATTAGTTAAGCTAAACTATTTTTTGATTTTAAGGAGATTTCAGGAGGTATTTTTGCTTTATGGTTTGAAGATTATCTCAGGGCAATAGTTTCAGGGGTTCAACCAACTTTCATAGTTCCAGGAAGTCTGGAGTCCATGAAAATTTGAAAATTTGTTCTGTCTTTTTCCTCTTTATGACAAATCTTCTACAGAATCTTTGATCAAATGTTCAGTAATGCTAGCCAGGTACCATCCAGTTCTTCTGGCCTCATGGCAAAGCAAGCAGTTGTTTATGGAGGCAATGAGCCACACATTCCTTTTCCTCTTTTTATTTATTCAATCTTTTAACTTGTTATAGGTTGATTTAGATTTTCTGTTTATTCTTGAATCAGTTTTAGTTGTTTGCATCTTTCTAGAAAATCATCTATTTTATCTTGAGTATCTGTGCTATCAGTTTTAGCTTTATGTGTTTTTGGCTGACCCAGAAAAGAAGGAAAAAGATTGAAATTACTAAAACCAAAAATGAAAGAGGTGATATCACTACAAACATTACAGAAATAAAAAGTTATAAGAGAATTCTATCAATAATTGTATGCTTGAGAAGATAGAGTGTTGTTGCTACTGAATTATAATGTTTTGTCATATCATTCATGTATATATTCATCAATATTTTATATTGTGTCCTATTTATGTATTTGTCTTCTCTTATGTCAGTGCCTGCTGTTTTTTTTAAAAGCAAATTTATAGTAAATATGAACATTTGGCAGAGCAAACTCTTTATTTTCCTTCCAAATTTTCAGATTTATCTTGGATATTGTAAAAAATTAATTGTCCATCTTTTAAATACAAAAGAAAATCCCACTGATAATCTTCTTTAAATTTCACAAAATACGCATTCACACATACACATATATATGCATTCACCATTCAGTACATGATGCGTAATGAATTTAAGCAATTCATTTTAAGTGGAAACTGGTAAGTAGTAATGTAGCACATTAAAATGAAGCTGAACAGGGTGGTTTATGTAACTTTCACCTAATAATTGTTTTCTTAACATAGGGTGAGTACTATTGAAGGTAGTGCCATCAGGATATTAAAAGAGAGAATGGTATCACGAAAAACTGACCTCGTTCGTACATTTGAACTTCATGACTGCTCTAAATCAGGTAATAAAATCATGTATTGCTTATCATATATTAGCATATTAGGTAACATAGTCATCAGTTTTCATTCTTTTTGCTTCCTTTAGATTTCAGTTCTCTGCTTTTACTAAAAAGGAATGATAGAGATTTAAAAAATTATCATCTATTATACACTGGGAAAAAGTCACATTCCTCCTTTTCTATAAGTTTCTTTCAAGAAAAAAAAAAATCTCTGAATTAGATTCTATTCTTAAAAAATAACCAGATTTCAGAAGCAGTAGAATGTTAAAGCATTTGTAAACCTCACAGTGAGGTAAATCTGCAGGCTGCATCTCCTCTCCCTATAAAGGTTTATTTGAAAATCCATCTGGAAGCATGGAGCAGAAGCAAGAACAAAAGGCTGTACTGCCATGGGGTGAAATGCTAGCACCAGTGTGGCAATAAATCCTGAGACTAAACGTGGGATGGTAGAAAGATGGAGAAGCTGAATTTGAGACTTCCACATTAATCATGGGCCCTCAAAGTGCCTATGGCATACCTGAGTTTGTAGTGCACCATGGCTCCTGGCAGAATCAAATGTAAATCCATTTTCAAGAAAAACATCCCTATTTTTGGCTATTAGTATAGTCAGAGATTAAGATCAACAAATATGAGCTTATAACTAAAGATTACCAAACAGATGAAAAAAACAGGCTATCATAAATGAGAGTCAACAGAAAAAACAAACAACAGATTTAGTTTCCCAAGGAATCGGATATTGGAGTTGTCAAATACAAAATTACTAAGAAGAAAACAAAAAGTTTAAAGAAATAAAAGATGGAATCACACACACACAAAGTATTTTAAAATTATTTGAAAACGAACCACATAGATATAGAAATTGTTGTTGGTAAGTGGTGTTGAGTCATTTCTGACTCATAGCAATCCTATATAGGGTTTCCTTGAGCAGCTGGTGGGTTTGAACTGCTGACCTTGTGGTTCACAGTCCAGTGCTGATCCTATAGCGCCACACCAGAAATCCAAATATAGAAATCTACGTGAAATAAAGGGAAAACATAATAGATGGGTTAACAGAATATTTAATATTTATTAAGAAACAGAAAGTTTAAGAGTTATGAACAGTAGAATGAGAATGTTTGAATACATAATCAGTCTCAGAATGAGAGAATAGAGAGGATGTAAGAAAGGGAATATTTTGACATGATGACTGAGACTTTTCCAAAACTGATGAAAAATTTTTAAAAAAAGGTTCTTAAAGGTAATTAACATTAAATCTATACCTACAAACGCTTGTGTTGAATATTAAAAACAAGAAGAGAGAAAACACAGATTACTAAAACTAGACTGATACTAGACTTCTCAACAGAAGCAATGGAAGTAAGTAGCTACTGGAACCATATATACAGTATGTTGAAAGTAAAATTTAGGATCTACCATACAAGCACTAACAAAAAGGAAGCTGAAATCACTATATTTATATAAGACAAAGTAGACTTTAATAAAATATAAATTACTAGAAATAAAAAGAGATACCACATAATGATAAAGTATTCACTTTACCAACTGAATCCATTTTATTTATTTATTTATTTTTGTTGTTGTTTTTTTAATCCATTTTAATAATAGTCTTTAAAAATACATAAAACAAGAATTGACAGAACAAGTAGTAGAATAACCCACCATTATAGTGGAAGATTATAATATTCCTTTCTTAGGAACTGAAAGAAAAAACAGATGAAAAAAATTCTATAAAGATATAAAAGATTTTAACCACAAACTTGACATAAAAGACATACAGTTGCAGTAGTTATGTGCTTTTTTTTTTAATGTTTTATTGTGAATTATATGATAGTTTACATGAGAGAACTTTAGTTTTACATTCATTCTATCGTATATCGTTTCATTGCCATGATTCCAATCCCCTCCATGCATCATCAACCGACCAAAGGGTATATACCCTACAAACCCGCCCCCTACACTGTTATGTTCTTTTTTAAAAAACAAAACAAAACACGTTGTTGTGGATTGGGTGAAGGTTTACAGAACAGTTTTACACTCAATATTCATATATATTTGTTTCATGTTATTGATTGCAATCCTCACATTGTAATGTCACTTATCCCACTTCGTCCCTGTGTTTCCCATATCATTCCTCCCTCTTTCCTGCCCCTTGCTACCTTCTGAACTTTGTCCATGGACAAATTTTGTCCTTTTGATGTCAAATGGTTGTTTAGGAGCCCTGGTGGTATTGTGGATGACACACATTGGGCTATTAACATCAGGCTCAGCTGTTTGAATCCACCCATCACTCCAATGGAGAAAAATGAGGCTTTTTGCTCCCATAAAGATTTATAGCCTCAGAAATCCTATACAAGGTCTCTATGAGTTGGAACCAACTCAACAGCACACAACTACCATTATCTAGCTAGTGATTTACCCTCCCCTCCCCTCCCTGGTAACCATCAAAGAAAAAAAAAATTTTTTTTTCTATGTGTAACCTTTTCCTTGACCTTTTATGGCAGTGGACTCCCGCAATATTGTTCTTTTGTGATTGACTTGTTTCACTCAGCATAATGTCCTCTAGGTTAATTCATGTTATGAAGTATTTTTTGGATTCTTTGTTATCCTTTAACATCATGAAGACAAGATGATAGCTATTCAAGAAGTTGAATAAACTCCAAACAGGATAGACCCCAAAGAAAAACACCAAGACATAATCAAACCTTTCAAAATAAAGCCAAGGAAAGAATCCTTAGAGCAGCTTGTGAAAAACAAAAAGTTATCCACATAGGAGAACTTATAAGACTAAGCTCTGATTTCTCAGCAGAAACCGTGCAGACAAGGAGACAATGGACTGACATATATAAAACTCTGAAAGATAAAAATTGTCAACCAAGAAGCATATACCCAGCAAAGTTGTCCATCAAATATGATGGCAAAATTAGGCCATTTTCAGATAAACAGAAATGAAAAAAATTTGCAAAAAACCAGACCAACTTTACAAAAAGTACTAATGGGAGTTCTTTGGATATAGAACCAACAACAGCAGACAACAATCAGAAACTAGCATACATGACAGTATCACCTAAAACTGAACTCAGATATAGAAGTATTCATAATAGAACAGACCTGCAAGACTGAAAATAGAGAATGAGAGATACAGTTGCAACTGCAACAACAAAAAAAAAAAAACCATTAAGTGAAATAAGGTGTTTATCGAACTTCCAAATGAATAGAAAATCAAGTAGATTTAAAAAAAATAAAAACAAACTTAACTGGTAGCATAGTGGTTACGAATCGGGCTGTGAACCTTAAGGCCAGCAGTTCGAAACTACTAGCTGCTCCGTGGGAGAAAGATGAGGCGTTCTGCTCCTATAAAGATTTACAGCCTTGGAAACCCTGTACAGGGTCGCTATGGGTCGGAACCGACTCCACGGCACTTAACAACAACAACAATCCTAAAAACTAGACCAAGGTTTATTCCTAACACTAACCTTAGTCCTAACCATAATACAAACAGTAAATCCTAGGCTTGATCTAGACCTAGTCATAGTCCTAACTCTAATCCTCACTCCTGATTCTTACCCTTCCTTGAGCATTATGCCTTTTTAAGAACTATCTACATGGGATCAAATCAATAAGAGACATTGGAAAGACCAGATAGAAACCTTAGGTAGCAATAAGTTTTTTTATTAGTGAGGAAGGCACAACTCAGAAAAGGGGAGGAAGAATGATTGTGCAACTCAAAGAATATAATCAGTGTCACTAAATTTGTTGTTGTTGTGAAGTGCTATTGAGTCAGTTGCGACCCTGTATAGGGTTTCCGAGGAACAGCTGGTGAGCTTGAACTGCTGACCTTGCAGTTCAAATGGCTTTGCAGTCTGGCACATTAACCCACAACACCACACCAGGACTCTATGTAAAAACTGTAAAATTCATATATGTTTTGCTGTGTATTCTAAACAACAATAACAAAATAATAAACAGGAAGAAATTGAATCTGAAATGGTTAAACTTTCAAACAAGAAACATCTGGGTTTGAGCAACCCCCAATTGCATATGCATCTGTGGTTTCATAAGGTTTTAATAGAGTTAAGAAATCCTGATTCGAAAGTAGAACATAGTAGACGTAGGAAACACAACAATGTCCCATATGCAATACATGTATCATGTCTCTTGTATATAAAATGGTTGCTCTGCCAGACATGTAATGGTATATATAACCTATAACACCTATGTCTTGATAGTCATAATAAACACCTATGATACTGGTTTATGCATGTACTGTATTATACTTTCTATTGTTATTGTAATGTGAACTTTGCCTATTATTGTTGGTAGTGGTTGTTATTGAGTCAGTTCTAATTCCTAGTGATCCTATGTACAACAAAACAAAATACTGTCTGCGCCATCCTCCCTTTTGTAGCCACTGTGTCAATCCATCTTGTTGAGGGTCTTCCACTTTTTTGCTGATCCTCTATTTTACCAAGCATGATATCCTTCTCCAGGCACTGGTCCCTCCTGATAACATATCCAAAGGATGTGAAACAAAGGAATACTAAGGAACATTCTAGCTGTACTTCTTCCGAGACAGATTTGTTCGTTCTTCTGACAGACCATGATATATTCAATATTCTTTGTCAACACTATAAGTCAAATGTATCAGTTCCTTTTTAGTCTTTCTTATGTATTGGCCATGTATGCTTTCACATGCATAGGAGGAGATTGAAAATACCATGACTTGCATCAGTCACACCATAGTCTACAAGGTAACAGTTTTGCTTTTTAAAACTTTAAGGAAACTTCTTTGCAGGAGATTTGTCCAACGCAAGTACATTGCTTGGTTTCTTGACTGCTGCTTCCATGAGTATTTATTGTAGATCCAAGTAAAATGAAATAATTGACAACTTAAGCATACCCTTTGTGTATTATGATGTTGCTTATTTATCCAGTAGGGAGAATTTTTGTTTTCTTTATGGTGAAATGTAATCTATACTGAAGGCTGTAGTCTTTGAGCTTCATCT